AATTCTCAGAACGTATCTGGAATAATTTATAAACAATCAGCACTATTAGTTACTATAGGATTCTGACGATGGTGTATAACACACTGATACATTGGGTTTTTGGACTTTATCCATCGTCCTGGTTTTTAAGATAACTAATAAAAACACGACGTTTCAGAAACTGGATCTGTTTCCGTCCTCATGTGAAGGAAAACACCTATTCTGTTGGGTCCGTTAGAAAGAGCTGGATTGAGTGATTGAGGCTAGCTCTTTCTAACGGACCCAACAGAATAGGTGTTTTCCTTCACCTGAGGACGGAAACAGATCCAGTTTCTGAAACGTCGTGTTTTTATTAGTTATCTTAAAAACCAGGACGATGGATAAAGTCCAAAAACCCAATGTATCAGTGTGTTATACACCATCGTCAGAATCCTATAGTAACTAATAGTGCTGATTGTTTATAAATTATTCCAGATACTGTCAGTAAAATGTAACATACATTGTTCAGTTGTGTACCTTACTGTGGTTGAACAGAAATTGAAGGAACACTTGTGGCTGGCTAACCACATGTAAATTGTGATTCTTAAAATAAATTAGGTACTTGCTGTCAGTGTGGTGGGCTGTGTTTGCATTATGCAGTGACTCCCTGAATGTTGCCCAGTATTTTGTTTGATGCAAAGTTAATCACAATGGCAGAGGATGTAAAATACTAGTATGCAATTTGTCTACCTCTTTGGGAGTAATGACAAGCCGTGGATGAATGGAGAGGGGGGTGGCGTTAGGAGCATGAATCTGCAGCGTGCTCGGGCCCTGATGAGGCCCTTGCATCATCTGATGCGAGGGAAGATTTCACCATGCATGGTCTGCACCTAAACCCTTGTAGTAGGAAGAGAACTAACACAACTTATTGCTGAGAGGGTTGTTGGTGGTTGTGCATCAGGTATAACCAGTATTCCTGTTATAACCCATGCTAAGGCTTCTCCTTTCTTAACTAAAATTAAAAAAAACACAGAAATGCTTAACATACAATAAATGCAGTCCTGCAGCCTTGGAAATTAACAAACTGAATGCATAATCATCCAACTCATAAAATATCTTTCACCAGAATATCAGAGGATTGAGAGGCAGAAGTGGTGAATTAATACACTCTTTTGAAATAGACAACAGAAACCTTCACATATTATATTTAAGTGACCATCACATGGTTGAACAGAAGCTGCAATACTTCACAAAGAATGGGTACACGTTAGGCTCCAACTTCTGCCGAAAATGCATACAGAGGACGGGGGCATGTATTTTTGTTAGGACAGATCAACGTTTCAGTAAAGTTTATATTTCTCATCACTGTAAGGAGCGGGGCTTTGAAATTTGTACAATTCATTTAGAAACTAAAACAAGTATCCCAGTTATTTTAAGCTTTTACAGAACACCTTCAGGAGATGTTAATGAATTCAGAGGAGAATAGATGCAACTTTAAAATATCTGGACAGTCTATAATTTGCAGAGACATAAACATGAACTATTTAAATGAAAATAACCAAAGGAAAAACAAGTAAAATCTTTACTGAAGATATACAGTTTGTCATGAACTGTAAATTTTGCAGCAGGAATAAAAAAATTTCTCGAGTACAGGCATTGATAATATTTGTATAGATAACACAAGGTTAAAACCTTCCTGTACATATCCTATAGCCAGCAGTCTTTCAGACCACAGTGTTCAGTTTCTTACAGTAAATAATATTACTACAAAAGTAAATTTAATACTCTTGAAACAGAGAACCAGAAAATAAATAATTAAACCATTGCTCTTTTTTTCAGCAACTATTAGAAAATGAAATATGGGAACCTGTTATTAAAAATAAGGATGCAAACTATAAGTTTAACTCTTTTTTTATATATTTTTCTAAACATCTTTGAAGCTAGTTTTCCTATTCAGAATAAAGCTGTAGGTATAATAAAAATGACTGGATTACACAAGGAATAGAAATAACTTGCGAACATAAAAGGAGTTGATATGTACAGCAAGAACAGTAACAATCCCCACATGAGAGCATATTACATTAAGTACTGCAAAACCCTGAACAGAGCTATAAAAGAGGCTAAAAGGTAGCATTACTGTATGCTTATAGAAAAATTGAATAATCAGATAAAACAACCTGGAATACAATAAAACATGAAACAGGAAAATTACATCTGACTGAACAGATTCCATCTCATCATATAAAGAATGAAAAAGTAAAGGCTTCAGAAGTAATTGCTGATGCCTTCAGCCTTTATTCCTGACAGTTACTGAGAATCTAAACTTGCATCAGGAAGTGGCAGGTGATCCCGTTTCATTTTTAAAAGAGACAGTTCCTAAAAAATTCCCTCATATTAAGACCATTCCAACCACTTTGTCTAACCACTGCTGGAATAACAAGTAAAGTTCTGAAATTGCGTGCATCTTTACTCAGTCACCTATTAACTCACATTCATAATTGTACACTGTTCACAGAGAACTTTCGTGATTGTCTTATGATTTTGGTAGTAAGACCACTGTACAGAAAAATGGGACAAAACTAGTAGGTCAAATTACAGGCCAATTTCTTTATTAACTACTTTCATTAAAGTATTTGAGAAAGTTAAGCACGGTAGGTTAAGACATTACTTGTATTTGCAGACTAATAATGAACTAGTCCCAGAACAGTTTGGCTTCAGGAATGGAATATTCACTGAACATGTAACATTTAAGCTAATAGACTGTGTGTATTAAAATCTGTTACTCAAAATATGCATGTTGGTTCAATATTTTGTGATTTGGCAGAAACTTTTGATTGTGTAAATAATGAAATTGTATTAACTAAATTACATTTTTTGGGCATTCAGAAAGCAACAGCAATTTGGTTCAGATCCTACTTAGCAGAAAACAAAAGATTGAAATAAAATCATCAAATTCAACCCAAGGTACCTACAGAACGTGGGGAACAGTTAAAGCATAGAGTTTCCCAGTGGTCAATTTTAGGGCCTTTGCTTTTAATAATCTATATAAATGACTTCCGACCTACTAGAACCCCCTATCAGCACCCATAATATTTGCTAAAGGCACTAGCGTCATAATTTCTTGTAAAAATTTAGATGATTTCTGCATACTGTCAAACAGAGTTCTCTCTCAAATGGTTTTCTGCAAACAAGCTGTCCCGTAGTCTAGCTAAAACAAAAGTAATAAATTTTTACTTGTTTGATTCTGGTCCGTCACACTAACAGTATCATAAGAGGTTAAAGAGTTCCATCCAGTGTGACTAGTAAAGATTTATCTTATTTCATTCCTTCATCCCTTACATGTTTCAGTCTTTACAGACCATCCTCAGAGGGACATCAGTACAATTGGAAGCCACTATTACAATATGTTTATGAATGTTAAAATATATGCATATAATGTTGATAAAATACATTGGATATAAAATCTAATGTTTTAACAACTACAGCAGCTGCTTTAATATGCTAAAATATTTACAATTAGTTTGTTAAGATTTTTGTTGGAAATTGTAAACCAAGTTGGTTCATGTCCATTTTTATTATTTCCACCTTGTAGTTCTCGAGAAGAGGATTCTTTAATGTCCTTCTGTAGGTGTTTGTGGCATGCTGTGTTGTATATATAACATTAAACTTCATTACAAATAACGAAGGAACATTTTCAGACCAATGCATGTGTACACAGTGTTAACACAAGCCAGCTGCTTACTTCTCATGCTTCAGAAAAGTGCATATTGTGCTGGGATCAAAATTTTCAGTAATCTGCTATCTGATCTCAAGAGTCTTATGAATAAAAAAGCACAATTTAAAATATCACTAAAATAATACTTAAGCACACACTAATTCTATACTGTTGATGAAAACTTGCTGTCTAAAAAAATGGCTCCTCTGTTTGAAGGTTGTGTAAGTAGCATAAGTTGACAGTATTGATGTATGTATGTGGATGTATTTTTGAATGGCCTTATGTGTTATCAGTGTGTATTCTTGGCTGTTCTTATATGAAAATTTCACTTGTACTGTGCATGTGTTTTTTGTATGTGTATGATATATTNGATTGAGGCTAGCTCTTTCTAACGGACCCAACAGAATAGGTGTTTTCCTTCACCTGAGGACGGAAACAGATCCAGTTTCCGAAACGTCGTGTTTTTACTAGTTATCTTAAAAACCAGGATGATGGATGAAGTCCAAAAACCCAATATATCAGTCTAGCCATTAAGTTGGCTACTTAAAAAATATATCAGTTGTTGGAAGGTTTTTGTATGTGTTTAAATGGAATTGAACTCTGAGAATATAATAAACTTACCTTTGCATTACCAGTAATTCCAAATTTACAAAATATTTGGCATTCCTCATTCAGTTTCCTGTATGAATAAATATGTGATAAGCAATTCTTTATGTCAGAATTTCAAGTTAAAAAGAATTTCAGTTTAACAAATATAAATTGAGTTTTTGTTTCCCCCCCCATTTATGTGCGGTGATATGTCTCATGCAGCTTTCTCACTGTGTAATATCATCTTTTATTCCTCCTTGCATGATATAATAGTGTGATGCACACTTCTGCTGCATCATGAATGAATGAATGAATGAATGAATCATATGCATGCATGCATGTCAATTTTGCTGTAGAATAACATATTTGACCTGTTGACAGGCTTGTTTTCCCCTACAAGTGGCTCTGTCCACATTAATGGCTATAACATCCGTGATAATTTGGATGAAGTGCGGGAAAGCTTGGGACTGTGTCCACAACATAACCTGCTATTCACAGATCTCACCGTCTTGGAACATCTGCTCTTTTTTGCAATGGTAATTAGTTTTGTGTTTCAGACCTTTATGCATAGAGATTGCAAATAAAACATTTTTCAAGCAAGTTGTAAATTAGCACAACTACCATGTGATAAACGATAAGTGTCCACGCTTACTTTTGTAAGAACTGGTAAAAATATTTTTATTTTGCCTTTCATTATTCTTGTTTAACCTTGCACTTTAGTAAAAAGATATAACCACCTATTTTGTTTTCCTTCCATGTTGCAGTTAAAAGGTTCCTCTAGATCTGAAGCTAATAATGAGGCCAGGAACCTCCTGCAGAAATTAAACCTAGAAGACAAAAGGAATAAGTTGTGTTCGACTTTATCAGGAGGTATGAAGAGAAAACTATCCCTTGGGATAGCATTAATTGGGGATACAAAGGTAAGGAGTCATAGCCGAAAAGTCTCATATTTTGGTTACTTCCTTACTGCTGCAATAATTAAATTTTAATTATTGTCTCTTCTAGGTCTTGATGTTAGATGAACCAACTTCAGGAATGGATCCAGAGGCCAGGAGGGAAATATGGGATGTCTTATTGGTATGAAAATGAGTTAAATTTGCTAGCTAATATAACTTTTTCCAGTACAGAAATATCTTAAGGTACTAGCAAATGCTACCAGGATGTAAACTTCCTTTATACAGGCTTGGATATTATTGTAATAGATGATGTATTGCGTCAATTTTCTGATCTTTGATAACTTCTTTTTGACTTGGTGTCTTTATCATCAAAACATTATAATGGAACACCACTGAATTTCAGTGTATGGCGAATTTAGTGCATGTTGAATATGTAATACACTGAAATATTTCAAGCATTTACTTTATTTCCAAATTTTTCATATGTAGTAGATTTTGTCTGATGATGTGTTCACAGTCAAAATGTGTTGAAAATTAATATATAGTAAAATTTTACCTGGGGGTGGGGGGTGTGGATTGCATATTGCATTATAACATCACAGATTTATTATATGAACTACATGGTCTCTTATTGCCATGGTGGCTAATTATTTTGTAATTAACACTTTTGGTAGTTTGGAAATGTGTTATTGCATGTAATCTTTCCCATTCTGTCTTAATTGTTTATCTTATATCCCTATTAGAATATGCGAGGTCAGCGGACTATCCTTATTACAACACACTATATGGAGGAAGCAGATGTGCTTGGAGACAGAATTGCTATCATGGACCATGGTCGAGTACAGTGTTATGGTACTACTTTGTTCCTCAAGAAACTATATGGTTAGTATGAGCTAAGTTGGAATTACATTTACTGTCTTAAGTAACTGTATCATTTCTATTGTGTGGTCATCTTGGCATACACGCGAGGCCTGGCTGTCCTTTAAAGCAGGGAGCAGTAAGTTTCTTGAATGGATTATGACAGTTGTGGGTGTGTGCCACATCCAGTCTTAAATCAAACAAGTTAGTAAAGAGTGACACCCTTCATTTCCAAAATCCAAAAGATTTTGAGTAGCACCATCAGCTGAAAGTTCTTATTATTTGTTTCTGGAACCTAGGCAGGCTCATAGTGCCAGATTTCCTGCAGAAGGAATCCACAGTAAACAGAACATTTTTAAAATTTATGAATCCAATTATTACACAAACATGATAACAAATTACCATCTGAGGACACTTGAAGTATGATGATACATGCCAACATACCTCTTGGAAAACAGCTGCAGCATTCTAAGAACAGTCTGTATGGGTTTTTCCTTACCTGCCTTCTTCACCAGACCTCACACTGAGCAGTTGCTGGCTTTTGGATCCTGCTGAATTTGAGTGGAATCCACATTTTGTGTAGGAAGTTGCAGTGTGTAGTGCAAAATTGGGACCAGCCATGGTATTGGTGAATCATTGAAAGACATATATTAAGAAAGAATTACTTTGAATTTATTGTTCTGTAAAGCAGTACATACATTTGTTAACACTATTTTCATTTGAATTTATAGACGTGTATAACATTTTGTTATTTCTGGAATCACCATAATCTCTAGTATGCTTATAAGGCTAAAATGTATCACAACACATCTGAAAATTTTTGTGCCCATAGAGAAAATTTGGTTTCTCTGCCAATGGAATAGAATTTGTTTTGGAACTTGGAATGTTTCAGGAACGGGATACCAGTTAAATCTGTTGAAGAATGAAGGTTGTCATGTGGCCAAGATAACAAATACAATTAAGCCTATTATTCCTGATGTGAAGGTGAAGAGTGAGATGGGCTCACTTTTGTGTTATATGCTGCCTTCAGAGCAGCGTAACAATTTCCCTCGGCTGTTTGATATCTTGGAACAAAATAAACAACAGTTATGCATATCTGGCATTGGTGTTTCCATCACCACACTTGAGGAAGTATTTCTGAGGTTGGTTGGTTTTATGTTTGTAATATTACACTGAAAGTGAAGCTGACTTCTGTAGAAACTGAAGCATATTTTAAGGGCTTTGCCTAACAACTGCCCTTTATTGTATTACATATTAAATTGTTATTAATTAGAAATGTTCTCAGATTCTTGTTCTAGAAATTTTCTCTTATTCTTATGACTGTCACAGTTTGACTTAGGAGACATTAATATACAAGACATGAATTTGTCAGATTTCTTCACCAGTAAAGGCACCTAATAATTAATGCTTCCTTTCATGCGAGAACGTGTAATTGTACTGTTATACTTGAAATTTCAATGTGATTAATTTTCCAGGGTAGGAAAAGAAGCAGTAGATGAACTTGATGGACAGACCAACTCAGAATCAGATGTGGAATATACGAAGTTGTACGGCAGTTCTGAAGGTATGGAAGACCTCCCTCTTTTAGTTACATAATATATATGCAAGCATATGCAGCCCAAATTATTTACTTTCAAGAGTGTCATAGTGATTCAGCACAGTACCTGCTACAACACATTATTATAGCTCCCTCATTGCCTCTGATGGGTTTTAGATATTACTGTATCAAAGGTAATTTTCAGCAGTGATTTAACTCTTATAAATTGAGTCATTTTATTGCAAAATTATCTTCGTTCCCACTCTACCCAACATTAATATATCCAGCTTGTATTTAGAATGTATCCAATGTACGTAGGTAAGTCAAAAATTATCCACACTCTTTTTTTTTTTCCAATCCATATATACAAAAGTAGGGGTTGAACAAGTACTTCATTTTTCTACATAGTCTCCTCCCTTTTCGATGCACTTGGTCCAGGGGTCCAAAACCTTGCGTATTCCCTCCACGAAGAAGGTTTTCTGTTGGTCCCGCAACCATTTATGCACCACTTCCCCCACTTCTTTGTCCGTAGAAAATCAAAAACCTCGTAAAACATCTTTGAGTGGTCCAAAGTGGTGATAGTCGGAAAGGGCGAGATCTGGGCTGTAGGCAGGGTGTTCCAGCACCTCGAAACACACATGGTTAATGGTTTCAATGGTCTGGCCGTCCTTGTGTGAGTGTTCATTGTCATGCAGCAACAACACTTTCTTCGACAATAGGCCTCGGCGTTTGCTGCGAATTGCTGGCTTCAGATTGTTGGCCAGCAAATCACTGTATCTTGCACTGTTGATCGTACACCCTTTTTCCAGGTAGTCTTCCAGTATAGGCCTTTTTGAGTCCCAAAAAATGGTTAGCATCACCTTTCCCACGAAAGATTGTGTCATGAATTTCATCTTCGTTTGCGATCCCAGGTGTTTCCACGCCATACAATGGCTTTTGAATTCTGGCTCATAGTGATGAACCCACATATGAATTTCAGCCCCTGACACACTTTCCAATCAGAGAAATTGGATCACTATTCTTTGTTAATCATTGGTGCACACTGCTAGCAGAGCGGCCATGTTTACACTATCACAGCATCAAGGAAAATGATGCGATCAAGGTAAAACTTCGATCACATGACCACAGTAATACCAACTCTAACAATGCATGCATAGGAGGCAGTGTGACAAACCTAAAGATGTGTTATGGAGAAAGTGTGAATAATTTCTGACTTACCCTCGTATATCTTGGGCATTAAGCCAGCTATCATAACATCTGTTTTGCGGTATTGTCAGTCCTTCCAATCACAGGTACATGGTCATGCTCTCATCTCATTTGATGATGTAACTACAGTAGTTGTGTCCACATGGGTAATTAACTAGAACTGACAGAGCCATTGTTTTTTTTTAATATTAGGTGTGTACATGCACATGTAGCATTGATGAGCACAAGCAGCTGAGTAAACTTAATCTATTCAATCAAAGGCTTTTTATCTACATGTGCCCAAAGTCATAACTTTGTGTTTGTTTGAGAACCATGGCCACTGGTTTAGTTCAGATCAGAAGTTTGTTATTTAATTGAGCTGGAACAGAGTGATAGCTGTTGCAGTCTTCAGAAGTAATTCTGTACCCATTATGATTTTGTCAAGCCACTTTCATTTTGGTTTAGCACAGTTAATTTTATTTTAAGCACAACATTAACTTTAGGCGTAAATGAACTTATATTTTTTTTTTCTGTTTTTAAGTCAGTGCACAAATTTTGACAAACCTGGCAGATGTTTTATGCAGTTATTAACATATGTGTGTTGCTTAA